AACAGATCCGGGCTTTTGCAGCACTGGTGCCTGTACCGCTAGGGTGAGGTTGAGGAGGGTGGGGGGTGGATGAAAGACCTTTCCCCCTGGATTCGCCCATGCATAGCGCAGTTTGACGCCGTCGATCCTGCTGACCATTTTTCCACAGACGCTGTGACCTTGAAAGTCAGCTTGCTAATGACCATGCAGTTTTCATCTTTTCCTTTAACAAAGAATTGATAGATGTATTACACTACTTCTGTCGCTTGTTTAACAACCGTTAACCAACGATTCTTATCACATCTTCCTATAGCGGTCATCATCGGCAGAAAGTGATACATTATGAGCCAGTCTCATAAAAGTTTACAAGGTCATCGAGCACCGGATGAAAGGGATGACTTGATTTATTGTCGTTTTCTCGCGACAGTTTTCAAAAAACCCTCATCCACAAGTCAGAAACAAAGGAATAAAACAGTAGAAATGAGGAAAAATGAAAAAAATCCGTGGTACCTCAAAGCCGGATCGGGAACATTACAGCACATATTTGATGATCCTCACACTGGCACTGGTGTTGTTGGATCTTGAATCTTCGAATCCTACTGTCTTGGTTTCCGTTGAGCAGAGATTTTTCAGATCTTCGCTTTTTTTGGCTTTTCCAAAGTGCATTCAAATAGATTTTCAAAAATTTGTTACTGAAAGACATAGAAGAATGCGATTACATGCCTTCGTGCATTGCTGTAAATGAGAATAAAAATTCATGAAACAATTAAGCTCGTAAAAAGCACAAATTTGGGTTAATTTTTGCAAAATTTCTTTTTCTATTGAAAGCAGCGTTTCATAGGCATAAATATATTACAGCCCCGAAAATTCTGTCTTTTCGTTTAAATCAAAGTCAAAAGCCTAAATTTCTTTCGCTGCTTACTCAATGTAAAAAAAGAAGAAAATCGAAAAGTAGCGCAAGAAGTGACAAATTTCCATAGCAACCAACCGCTGGCAAAATCGTCGATGATCCCCTCCTTTAGGGTTAATTAAAAGCAGGCTGATGGCAGTGTCCTTTAAGTGTCAATTTTTGTTGCAGTTTTTCCCCTTTTTTGTTTAATCAGTTCATAAAGAACTGATTTCAAAAATGTCAGTTTTATTTCACAGTTTTGACTTTTTTTTCCAGTCACTGTAGAAGTGCTTTTCATAATTTTCTTTTTCAGTAGGATGAGACCAATTGTGATGTCAGGCCCGTCCGGAGGAGGAAAGAGTACTGTTATCACAAAAGCTATGGAAGCTTTTCCAAATGCATTTGCCTTCAGCGTTTCACGTATGTAAATCCTGGATTTTTTGCATTTTATCACAAACTTCCGCTTCTTCATACTTCTGAATAATTCCCCAAGTATTTTTGCTAATGTTTCTGATGTTGTTGTGAATTTTTACAGATACAACTCGATCACCACGTCCGGGAGAGGTGAATGGGACACATTACTGGTTTGTATCCAAAGAAAAATTTGAAGAAATGATTAAAAATGGCGAATTCTTGGAGTACGCAACCTTCGGTGGCAATATGTATGGCACATCGTAAGTTTTCATGCCAGATTCCTCGGAATCGAGAAAAAGGAGAGGTGGGGGAGAGGGGGGAGGGGAAGGACTGGGCAGAGCAAGACTGGTGTGAGCGATAGCATACTTGCAACAGCTGCACAAAACGCATATTGAAATAACTGTTAATTCATATTCTGGTACTCCATCTGTGCATCCGGTAAGTTTATTTATATATAGTCATTTCATAATAGAACTAATAATTGTATCAAAATTTTAGTAAAAAGGCAGTCGAAGATGTACTAACAACTGGACGTATATGTATCTTGGATGTGGAGTTGCAAGGAGTACGCAGCATACACAAATGTGGATTGGATGCAAAATATATTCTTGTAAGGGCACCCAGTTTGGATGTTCTGGTTAGTATTTTATCTTAAAATTCGGAATTTTGCAGGGACCTGCTGAATTGTTTGATGGTTAACTGCGAAATTTATGGTCTTATTATCCATAAAGCTTCAATACTTTGTTTGATATTCTAGGAGCAACGCTTGCGTTCCCGCAATACCGAGAGTGAAGATTCGCTCAAGAAACGACTAAAGCACGCTAAGGAAGATTTAGATGCTGGTAAGTGATTCATAGAGTCCAGGTTAACACTGGAAGTAAGTTAATGATTTTAGCAGTGGAATATGTAAAAAGTAGGGATAAAAGGCGTTTTTTTGACCTGACGGGAAGTATAAGAATCTTTTGTGATGGAAGGGAAATGAAAAAAATTCTGTCACAGGGTCCAAAATTCATTAGATTAAGCAAATGCTAAAATCGGATTTTAAAAAATTAATATATTCCATATCTAAGTAAACCCCTGGAATATTTGGAATATCTGTGGTTTTATAATATGGTTCTTCACCTATTTGGCTGAAAATTTTTTTGATTGCTTTGACTAATGGTGCATTCTCATTAACGTCCTAGTCACCAATTAAATTTCGTTTCTCTCTCAAGAGGACTGAAAAGATTGTCAGCTCAACGATTCTTCGGACAGAAGCACTTAGCAAGCAGATTGTAGCAACCAGGTTGACCAGATTTTAACCATTTCAAAGTGTCTTTAGCATCACCGCCTCGTATCGGTCGTTGCTACTTCTAGGGCAGGTGTATTACCATCAGGGGGATTCCTAGCGTAAAATGTAAAATTGTTGAATTTTATGATATTTCAGAATTTTTTGAATTATTTTTTGTAATGTTTGAATTTTTTGATTTTTTTTTGCGAAATGCTGAATTTTTTTTGTTGTGATGTTTCAGCGGATGCCGAACCAAGTTTATTCGATTTTATGATAGTGAACGATGACCTGGAACGTGCATATGGCGAATTTCTAAGCGCTATTCATGATGAACTCAGTGCAGTTACCGCCTGAAAAAAAAAGAAAAAAACGACATCAATCATTTGCTTTTAATTAGAATAATCAGCTTTAGTGGGTACCAATTTTTTCGTATGTTTGTTTATTTAATTATATAGGAATCTTATAGGAATATATGTGCATTTAATGGCATTTACTATTTAGCGAAAATTTTGTCAAATCAGCGTAGGTATTCTTTGTTAGTGATGTTACTGGGATGTTCTTACACAAAAAAATCATACGTATTGTGTTTATAATTACGTGTGTTTATATAGAAAATGTGTAGTTAGTTTTCTAAATACAACTACGTCTTGTGGAACTATCCAGCTTCTCGATTTAGGCATCGACGAAAGTGGCTCAGATGTTGAGAATTCTAAAAATATCAATCATTCCAGCATATCTTATTTTTTTTTTTTTAATTTTATATGTTTCTTTTGTTGACTATTGGAATTTTTTCAAATGCTTTTGGTA